GAAGATACTTTAGAGATGCTTGAGCGCTCAGCTGGATCGAGAATACCTCAGTTTTTCATAAGACCAGAGAAGGATCATCCTGTGATTGTGGCGACATTTGCATCTGAGAAATGAAACTCATCAGCCATTAAACTCATGAAATCCGAATTGACCCTCTGACTATTAACCGTCAACTCTTTACTTTCTTAAACCATGTTCCTGGTGTTAATGTGAATTATTCATCAATGTATTATATTCCAAAAACAAAACATACCAAATGTTTGTCTTGTTCACAATCTTTTATCAAAATGCAGCGACTTTCCTTTTTATCTGACATAACCAATATTTATATTTATGCAGCCACAGCATATAGCCTTATTCGGACGGGACTGAACAATGTTTGAGTTTTAATTCTTATCAATTGACATCTGTGATTTAATGTACCGATTCAGACGGGACGAACGTGTTTATTACAGAGGTGGGAGTGTGTATTTTCTAGATGGACGTCTGCTGTGCTTCATCACGTCATCACATGACGTATATGTTTTTTAATTAATGACTTATTGATATAGCTTTAATTCATTATTAAAACCCTATTTAAATAAAAGCTGCAGTCCGTAACTTTTTTAAGTTAAAAATAATCCAAAAAAATTATATGTAAAAAAACATTTTCTGCCAGTGGTCAAAACTATCTGCTTGCCATAGCTAGATTCAAAACGGTTAGCTTGTAATAATGATTTTAATTCCAGTGGTACTGGTGGGTTTCCGCGGGAAATTCGAGCATGTCTTTGCGTCATTACGTCACACCCGTACACATGAAGAAGGAGTTTCGGCTAGCCGGCTATACTGCGCGTGACGAGATGTTTAGATGTATAGGCTTTTCTCGCAGCACTTTACATAATTAAACTTATGGCATCCAGAAAGATCCAAACAACAATCATCAGTGTCAACTGGAGATTCAGCAGTTATAAAACCCAAAAGACTTCGTACTTCGGATTTACGGTGGCTAGAGAAAGAGAAAGAAACCGTCTCATGCGAACACAAGGATTTAAACATCGGCGGGGCTTTTGAAAAGTGCGTGAACTCCGTGTTTTGAAGGGGTTCGAAACGGAAGAAGAGACGGCTTTTTTCTGCTGAACAAGTAAGTTAAGACATTTCAATAGTTCAATCGTGTAACAGTACGTTTTCTCAATTCACACAGTTATGGAGTTTCCTTTGTTGTGCCTTTCTCGTTTTGCTATTATGGAGAATATGAATTCTGAACTACACAGGTAACCATAAAACACATTAAATTTAACATTAGTCAGTCACGCAATGCTGATGTTGTTAACATGAACAATTTGAGAACAAAGTAGGCTATAATTTGCACGGTTGCTGTAAATCGCGTTGATTAAATCTAACGAAGCTTATCATGTCGAATGCTTTTTCCCCCTTAGTTGGTCAGAACAAAAATGGATGTTACTTGTTCAGAAGACATTTTCTTATGAAAATTCTTATGTTGGTCAAACTTTCAAAAAGTGAATCTGTGATTCTGTATGACAGTATCCACACAGCGTGGTGACTGACAGCAGCACTCGCCTCAAAGCACTGTGTTCATCCGCGCTGTTTCATGCCGATTTACAACCCACCTAAAGATGATAATTCTGCGAATCACTGCAGTTACAGATTTCGAACAGAGAGATGGCGTCAAAGAGGAAAAGCTACGGACTGCAGCTTTAAATAAACTTCACATGAGTGGCTGTTTATAATAAACCAACATAAGTGAGCAGAGACATCTAGACAAGTGTCTTACTTGACACGGATATTAAAATGGCTCTAAAGATTGATATTAAAATGTGGCTCTATTTATCAATTTTACAATTAATTCAATTAATTAAATACAGTATCAGCAATCACGACATGCTCATTCGGACAGGGTTAGATTTCTCCGAGGACTGTTGAGTCTGCTGAAAAACAGTAGCGATTTGCCCTGAAATTGTTTGCTGAGGTTGTGTGAGGAAAAACACAGACAAGGCAGATTCGGACAGGATTGAAATCACAAAGTAGGCCTGTGAAACATTAATTTCTCTAATAGTCCTCCATGAAAACTAGTCCCGTCCGAATAGGGCTTTTGAGAAACCACCCAATAATTCCCTATGGATTCAAATTGTTTTGCCCAACAATATATTTTGTTCTTTTTCTAGAAACCTGTTTCACTCTCAAATGCATCACATTATGAATTGTTAAAATGAGTTGTGAATGTTGTTGACCTGGCATTTGTTCCATAAAAGTCGTTCGGTGTGTTATATATTGTATATTTATATAGGCATTCCTGGAGCTCAAACAGTAGCGCATGAAACTAGCAACACAAACGTCATGGTTTCAATTCCCAGAGAATACATAAAATACTTCTAAAATATAAAATATGAAACCTCACATATACATATTCTTGAAAATATGTAAAAATGTAAACGTAGCACAGTACCACCAGTCAAAATTAGTGACATTATTTTTTTATGTAAATTATTATAAATTATAAAAAATTATAGTAATTTAACTTTTATATAAGCATATTTTTATCTACATTTTTTTAACTGGAAAGATATCGGAACCACATTATAGAGCCATGACATATTTTCAGAAAACGTTTCAAATGTATTTATAAATGCAAGTAATATTATTATTATTCAAATCTACAGTTTTAAAAAGTTTTTTTTAACTTATTTGCTTTCTATTGGAGCTGTGTATATTACATTTTTCCATATGAAAATGAGTGACCTCATCTGACCCAAAACTAAACAAACACTGTGTGATTTACTGTCCATGGAGAGAGTCTGTATGGATGTGGTTTCCAGTGTTTTGTGACTGCTGGTGTAGAATGATGGACAGAGAGTGTTTGTGTGTGTGTGTGTGTGTGTGTGTGTGTGTGTGTGTGTGTGTGTGTGTGTGTCTGTGTAAAGGGTGGAGTCGGGTTTAACATCAGCTGTGTTTGTTTGTTATGAATAGTTGGCAGATTCAGCAAAGGTAAACTTATGACCTCAAACATATGTATATTTAATGTTGCCTTTTTGATTTACTTAAGGTGCAATAAAGTGGTTTCTTTTTCTTGCAAGAATAAAAAAATCAATTTCATTCAAAGTGAATCATTCTGAATGACCAAAAATGGCTTTTGAATTCAATTAAAAACCTATTGAATCAAGTCTAACTAACCATTGTCCCACCAAGTTTTCGAAATGCCCCCACAATCAATTAAAATATTTTAATTGATGTTTTAAAATGATTAATAAATCCATTTTAACGGCAACTTCTAAATTTCATTCAAAAACATTTGTCAATAGTTTTAGTTTTATCCATTTTTATCCACATGTAAAAATATGTATGGACATCAAGTTTATAATCAACTTTAGTCTTAATATATTAATGGACTTTGCAGGAACAAAAAAAATATTTAAATAACTTTGTTTATGAATACGATGATTCAGTACCAACCACAGTACTAAATAGTTACCATATTCATATACAATGTTATTTGCATGCATTTGTGTGTAGTGTACAATCTGTGTGTTTTTCTGCAAGCCAAATCATTGTTTTGACGTCGCAGCACGACATGCAACTCTGTGTATTATTGGGTCTCTGTGCTGTCTATGTACCTGTTCAAAAGCCTTAAAGGTGCAGTGTGTAGATTTTAGCGGCATCTAGTGGTTCGGTTGCGAGTTGCACTAATAGCTCAGCCCACTGCTCACCCCTCCCTTTCGAAGAAGCTACGGTGGCTAAACCGGGACAAACATATCGTCGTCTGAGACAGCAGAGAATAGCCAGAGTAAGCCAAGTTTCTGTACCACAGTCCATTATAAACCACATCATGGATAAAGTTTACAAAGCCATAGTCAGGTGAGGATCAAGGGTCTTAATATATAATTAGGGCTGTCAGTTAAACGCGTTATTAACGGCGTTAACGCAAACCCATTTTAACTGTGTTAACTTTTTTATCGCGCGATTAACGGTCTTTTTGGCCTAACAAACTTTGTAGTTTTTTTCACATGCTTTTGCAACAGGATGCGGCATTCCTTTAAAATGGCTTATGCCGCGCGAGGACGTTTTGAAAGCGCAAGCAGATCTAGCTAGACCGGAAACAAAATAACAGCACGACGCTGCACACTTGTTTAGGCTTGTGTGATCAAAGTGATCTGTGTGTTGTGTCGTTGTGAACTGAGCTATCATCATCGCAGCACGTCCAGTCTGAAATACCACTTGATGGCCAAGCACACACACACACACACACACACATACACACACACAGATGATGCGAATTCTCCGCCCCTCGTCAATATCAGGAACTCGTCAGTATTTCTTTCACCCTTTTATTGATGGACAGTGTTACATTGTGTGAGAGATTATTTGCTTCAAGTGAGAATGTTAGTGTGAAATTGAACACAGTATACGCCAATGTTGTTTTCAATAAAAAACATTTGCACAAAGCAAGCCGATCCACTTTTCCATGTTGATAAGAGCATTAAAATGAGAAAAAATAATGGGACAAAAAGAAATCGAGACATTTAGAATAGATAAAAATGTGCGATTAATTGCGATTAATCGTGAGTTAACTATGACATTATTCGCGATTAAATATTTTAATCGTTTGACAGCACTATATATAATATAATAATAGTAATCAGCTGATTGTCTCACAAACGTAACCAGCACATTTCTCCCCACATAGCAAACCCATAATACAGCGAGGGAGAAGAACCACATGAAACTATGCAACTATATTTTTTCTAACAGGGTAGTAATAGTTTAGTCTATTACTAAACGTCACAATATAGACGTCACAATATGTCGTCCTTCATAAAAGGGGGTGCCCGCGGTTCTGTAGATATAAATGTCTCATTCTAAGGGAATAAAAACATAACGGTTCATTGAGTAAGGTCTTTATACACCACTGAACACATAGTTATGGATCTTATATTGCATTTCTGTCAATAGGTCCTCAGAAATATTACACATTGCACCTTTAATGTGATGTGTGTGTGTGTGTGCAGTGGGACTCTCAGGATGAGCGCTCGACCGCGGGCAGGTTCCCAGGGTTCCCTGGAGGAGCCGGATGATGAGGTGATGCCCTACAGTGACGACGAGACAGACGATGAGTTGCAGTCAGAAGATGACCTGGACCGGACTGAAGACCAGCTACCAGAACCAGAACCCAGACCCGCTCCTGCTCCCGGTGAGATGAAGACCCATCTGCATGCTGGAAAACTCTCCTGCTAGAGCTTGTTTTGTGTTCTGATTTAGTTTTGTTGTTCTCCTTTTCCTCTCAGAGGTCGGTTGGACCATCCGAGCGAATGACAGGGAATACTGCCAGAGACCCGAGTTTCAGAAGAAGGTCTTTCTGTGCTTTAAGAAAAGCAGATACTCGGTAAGTCCAACCTTTAGTGGATCGGAATAATTATTTTTTATTATATATAGTTTTTGAAGGAAGGCTCTTCTGCTCACCAAGGCTGCATTTATTTTTACTGTAAAAAAAAAAACCACAGTAAAAACAGTAATATTATTAGATATTATTACGATTTAAAATAACTGTTTTCTATGTGAATATAGTATATTAAAATGTAATTTATTCCTGTGATCAAAGCTGTATTTTCAGCATCATTACTCCAGTCTTCAGTGTCACATGATCCTTCAGAAATCACTCTAATATGATGATTTGTGCTCAAGAAACATTATCATTATTATTAGTGTTGAAAACAGTTGTGCTAATTCATATTTTTGTGGAAACCGTTTTGTACTTTTAATGATGCTGAAAATTCAGCTTTGCATGACAGGAATAAATGACATTTTAAGATATATAAAAATAGAAAACGGCTATTTTACAAATTTGATGTAGTTTTGATTAATAAAGTAGCTGTTGGTGCCTAAAAGCCTTTGAAAGACACTAAACTCTAGAGATTGTCCTGTAAATAAATACTGTAAGTGTCTTCAGATAAAAGCATCTGATAATGATTTCCCACCGCTTACTAACACTAAACATGCTAGTGTTTTCCGCCGTTTAGACCACAAACAGTGTTTTGAGCGGGCCGATGTTTTCATCTTAAACTGCAGGACCTTTAAAGTCAATCTATACTTTTACCATGAACATTATTTTGATATTTGTCTCCTCTTATACAAACTTTACAGACTGGTCAAACCAGACTGTTGAATTTCTTCAAAGGAAGATTAATGTTTAGTTTTCTGGGAAGGAAGTGTCTGTTTTTCTTTTGTCAAATGTTTAATTTGTTTAATGGATAAATCATGAATCACTTCTGAAAAACAACAGCAACATCATCACACAGTTTAGCTTTAAAGGTTATATTTCTTCTTATTGATTATACTCATAGTTCATAGTTGTACTCATAGTGACATTGCAAAATGGTAACAAATTGTATTTTAAGTCAGTCTCAGTTTTGCACATTACTCTGAGACCTTTTTTCTTCTGTCGCATTTTCGGTTCATCAAACGCCTCCAGGAAACATCCAGAAAAATAAAAGTGACACGTCATGTATTTAGGTCGTAATACGTCATCATGTTGTTATCTGTTATTCCAGATGGGGCTTGGCCTTTATTATGGTCTAAACTGAGAGATTTTATGCTCCTTTTCTTACATAAGTTACTTGTTAAACTCATAAGTTATTGCTTGTTTAGGTTCTGTGGTATGACAATGATCTTAGACTGGAAAAACGAGTCATTTGGGTGTCAAATGTCCCGAGATTTGCTGCATGTCGTGAGATATAAGCAGCAGTGACTGGCTTTGTCTTGACTCTTGCGGTTGAAATGTTACCCTGCGAGAGCATCCACAGTCAGATTTTGATGTGTTTTGATTTGCATGTATGGAAAATAGTTGGGTTCGGTAAACCCAACTATAGTGACAGGAACTAAAGTAGAGAAAGAGTGAAGAGTTTGTGACACTTTAAATCAGACTTTAATCTCTAACAGGTCTATTAAACCTGACCCAGATCTAAAGTTTTTTTTTTTTAGGGTTTTAAATGTTTTCTTTACTATTCCAGCCTCATATTTCCGAAATCCCATGAAAGTGCGCAATATTTCACAACTGACAAACTTCAAACTTATTATAGAGCCTTGGGTTAAATTAGAGGGCATTTTCCTTTATGAAGTCGGCGTCGTGAAAGAGAAGTTGTGATCGTCTTTTCTATTGTGACGTATATCCGAGTGAAACTGCTTCTCAAACAAGATCAAATGTAGGGCGGGGCTTGATTTTGTCTATAGGGAGTTGATTGGATGGTTATGGGTTTGCTATTGGTGGATCTCAAGTGATTGACAGGTTGCCCCGCCCTCGCGCGTGTAAACCTCCTCAATGAAGAGGAAGATATTTTGAATCAAAATTATGAGGCACGTGATGTGCGCGGATAAATTATTTATGATAAATCCTGCAATATTCCATTAAAAAATATATAAGAATTGTCTGTTTGGATTTCATGGTGACTTTAAAGTTTTCTAGGAAATTCTGATATGTTATTCTACATTCTGCCGGTAATGTTTTATATAAAGTGATTTTACTCCTGGGACCTTCATCTGAGGTGATAGCTCCCCAATCAATCCACGTGGGGAGAGAACCTGAACATTTTAAGACTTACGTTTTTTTTTATACCAATTTCTTGAATTTCTTTTCATTTTAAGGACAATGCAATCAAGACCTACAAATACAACGTGTTAACCTTCCTGCCGCTGAACATGTACGAGCAGTTTAAGAGGGCGGCCAACCTCTACTTCTTGTGTCTGCTGATCCTGCAGGTAAACCTCACATTTATCACGCAACTTCATAGACAGCATGAGGAAAATATAAATATATCAAACACACACATATACATGAACATATATATATATATGAACTTTAACTCGTGTGTGTTAATGTGTCAGATCATTCCTCAAATCTCCACGCTGCCGTGGTACACCACCCTGGTCCCGTTGGTGTTGGTGTTGGGCATCACCGCCATTAAAGACCTGGTGGACGACCTGGTGAGTCCCTGCACGTGTTTAGTGATGGAACGGTTTGGGTGAAAGGTAGCCATTAATTGACGGGTCATGGTAATGGTTTCTGTCATTTGATATGTTTCTCCGGTTGAAAGGCGCGACACAGGATGGACAAAGAAATCAACAATAGAAGGTGTGACGTGCTGCTCAATGGCAGGTAACACAAAACTTTAATCTGCTTTAATACTGAAGTACATGATATTAGTGTTGATGTTTGTCAGTGAATAGTTTAAATAAACAACATTTTGGCATTAATGCTCAGATTCAAAAATTCTAAATTCTAATTTGTCAGATTTGAAGAGACCAGATGGATGCATCTACAAGTTGGTGACGTAGTCAGACTGAAGAAAAACGATTTTATCCCGGTAAGTTATTTTTAAATCTTTTTGCCTTCCCGTTGAAAGATCTCCCTGTTTTTATTTTATTTTATTTTATTTTATTTTATTTTATTTTATTTTATTTTATTTTATTTTATTTTATTTTATTTTATTTTATTTTATTTTATTTTATTTTATTTTATTTTATTTTATTTTATTTTATTTTGTTTTATTTTATTTTATTTTATTTTATTTAGTTTTTTCCCCACAATCTTAGAGATTCTCATCTTGTTGCAGCTCATAAAAATAATGCATTGAAAAAAAAATGTATACATAAATTAAAAATAAGTTGAATTAACCTTTTTTATCAAAGACACTTGTAGGTTTGGTATATGCCATATTATATAGAAATTATATCTTGAATGAAATATGTACCTATAAATAAAATAAAACTATATAAATTAAAATATTTAATTGATATAATTAATAGTATAATTTTTACAATGTTTATAAAAACTTTTTAATTTTAATTCGGATCTTTTAATGCTGAAAGTATTATAATATTACTGAAATATCCACTGAAAGAAACCCAAAATTAGTCTATATTTTATGAAGGCCCTGCTTGAGTTATGTTTGTTCCAGGGCTTTTCCTTTTTTTATGGATTTAATTATTAATTATTTATAGTATTACACTTACTTTGAGTGTTCATTTGCTTTCATGTCATGTTAATGCTTGCATTTCCTCCATTTTACTATTTTTTTTTTAATCACATTTTTAGTTTCTTTATTCCTCCGGTCTCTTCATTTATTCATCTGAGGTCATTTTTATGTTAATTTCTCATTTTCACGTTTGTTTCAACCTCATCTAGGCCGATATTCTGTTGTTGTCCAGTTCAAATGACAACAGTCTGTGTTACGTAGAGACGGCGGAGCTTGACGGGTAAGAAACCACATTAAACACCCAACACAAGCATACAGTGATTGTTAGATCAGTTTATTGGATCTATGAATCACGCTACTGCAAACGTCCACACTTATAGAATCATTTCGGAAGACACAATGTTCGTTTGCATCGTGATAGTCATAATTGAGTTGTTCTGGCCATAACCATACATGCATACATTTCTATGACTTTCATTTTTGTTTTGTTACATCAGTCCAATGAATGTTTGAATGGGCATTTATGTGTTTAGACAATAGACATCGAGTCATAATGGAAATTGTGTAATGGATATGGTACTGATCAATCCATCCGTTCAGTCCAAATACACTTCTTTTAGTCTCTCACATTCAAAAGACTCATTATTCAGATCCTGGGTTTGTCTATCTGCATACTTTTCATAAATATTTAATTAACAATATAATCTTTAATTTATTTTTATTTAAATCGTTTAATTCTAAAAGTATTATAATATTAGTGAAATATGTACTGCAAGAAACTTGAAATATATCACATTAGTCTGTGTTTTAAGAAATATTTATGTTCCTGGGGTTTTTACTGTTTTTATGGATTTAATTATTGAACATTATTGATTGTCATTACACATACATTTGTAATTTTTTACATTTGGTTGATTTTTTTCAAAATACTTTTTAAAATATTCCTTATTTTTATTTCTATTTGCTTTTTTGTTTATTTATCGAGTGTATTCATAGCTTTATTTATATTATTTATTTATTTATAGAAATGTATTAATGTATTATTTTTATTTATAGAGAGTGCATTTCTAGTTTATTATTTTTATTTATAGAGATTGATTTCATAGTTTTATTTATTCATTTTATATTAATGTTATATTTATATAGAGAGGTTTTATAACTTATATTTATAGAGTGCATTTAAAGTGTATTTATTTATTAATTGATCTTATTTGTTGAAAGTGAAGGCATAGAATAATGTTGTTTTATTTTATAGGTGGCATTTCCTTGATTGTTATTAAACATATCTGCAAAATGGAAGAAAAGCAAGCATAAACATATGCTTGCTTTTCCTCCATTTTACATTTTGTCTTTCACATCCATAGAATCATATTTGAGATCCTGGGTTTGTCTGTCTATACTTTTCCATTGTTTCATGAAGGAGGACGGGATGTTGTCAGATGGCTCACATTAGTGTAGTTAATTAATCGTTTTGGTTTTGTTTGTCCAGAGAGACGAATCTGAAGTTTAAGATGGGTCTCAAGGTCACAGACGAACAACTTCAGAAGGAGGATCAGATGGCTAAATTTAATGGTATGTACTGTATAAGAATATGTTTGCACTAATAATATGAGTGTTTGACAGATTCAGAGACTGAAGAACAGATGATTTGTGTGGAAGTAGTTGCATTAATGTGATTGTGCGCTCATGCATAAACACGTGTTGGTCTTAAACCCTGTCCTAAACATGTGCGGCACGCAAATTAACCAAATTTTTCTCTCCTGGCCCGAAAACAAAATGCACTAAGCAACAGCATGAGAGGAATGGGATTTTTAACCAGTCAGATTTAGCAACCAAGCGCAACTGACAATGTTATTGGTTAGATATAACTATCCTGAGATTGGACAGTAGATATGAAAGAATAATTTCTTGTTTTGTGTCTCTCTCAGCGCTGATTAAGTGCGAGGAGCCCAACAACCGTCTGGATAAGTTTGTGGGAACGATGATCTGGAACTCTGAGAGTTACGCGCTCGACCTCGACAACATGCTGCTCAGAGGATGCAAGATCCGCAACACAGAAGAGAGCCACGGGCTGGTCATATTCGCAGGTCAGAGGTCAACACGCTGACCAACACACACTCACGCTCACGGTTCAGTGGTGTGTTGGTGTTCGTTAAAGCTTTGTGTTTTTTTCTTCAGGTAATGACACTAAAATCATGAGGAACGGCGGGAAGACCAGGTTCAAACGCACCACGATAGACAAACTCATGAACTACATGGTCTACACGGTGAGCCTTCATATCTCAACTTTACCATTTAACTTCTTCAGTTCTATAACATTTACTTTTTTTTTTTCACTCACCTTAAATATTTTCCTTATGACAGTTTTGTAAATTTTTTTATTTTTTTATTTATATTTACATTTTATCTATTCATAGAGTGTTTTTGTAGTTCTATTTATATTTATAGACTGTAAAGTGTATTTATAGACGTTTAGATTTTATTTATAGAGAGTGTATTTGTAAAGTTTTATTTATTGAGAGTGCATTTATAATGGTTTATTTATAGAGAGTGCATTCATAGTTTTATTTATTAATTTGATATTATATATAGCTTTATTTTTAATATTATATGTAGAGTGAAAGCATAATTTTATTTATTTTATCTATTATTTTTTACTTAGAATGTATATATAGAGGTTTGTTTATTTATTTTGTGCATGCATAGTTTTATTTAATTATTTTATTCATTTTTTATGTATAGAGTGCATTCAGTTTTATTTATTTTATCCATTATTTTTTAATTGAGTTTTATTTTTGTTTTTTAAAAAACTTTTATTTATAGACTGCATTTCTAGATTATATATATTTTTATTTATAGTTAATGCATTCATGAAGTTTTATTTATTATATTTGTTATTTTTATTGAGGTTATTTATTTATTTATATGTTTTTAATATAAACCTATAGACTATTTAACTTTTATAGACTGCATTTCCAGAGTTTTTATTTATTCATTACTCTTATAAAATTTTGTTCATTATTTGTTTTTATTTATAGAGAGTACATTTATAGAGAAATATTATAAGGTGCTGCAGCATATGCAATAAATCCGTTATCGTGAATATTTCCATCGCTCTCTCTTTCTCACTGGTAGATCTTTGGGTTGCTGGTTTTGCTGTGTGCCGGTCTGGCCATCGGACACACGTACTGGTACGAGAGCATCGGCTCTAAGGCCTGGTATCTTAACGACGGCCTGGGCCATTCTTCATCTTACCGAGGATTCCTCAGTTTCTGGGGCTACATCATCATCCTCAACACCATGGTGCCCATCTCTCTTTACGTGAGGTACGATATCAGCGCACAGCACCAGTCTCAGTCTGAGCACTCAGATTGTTATTCATCAGATAACTCATTCACCTCTGTTCCCTCCTTGTCCTTCAGCGTGGAGGTGATCCGACTGGGTCAGAGTAAGTTCATTAACTGGGATCTGCAGATGTATTACGCTGAGAAGGACACGCCAGCCAAAGCCAGGACCACCACCCTGAACGAGCAGCTGGGTCAGATCGAGTACATCTTCTCCGATAAAACCGGCACGCTCACTCAGAATATCATGGCCTTCAAGAAGTGCACCATTTCAGGACGTACTTACGGTGAGGGCTTCGACAAACTGCTAACCCTGTGAATAGAGACCAGTGTAGCTTTTAGAGTATAATATAAATCCTGAAATGCTTCCCAGGGACCAAGCTTACTGTATCGTGTGATGCGCATGTGCAAATATCCAAAGCTTCTAAAAGATCAAAGTTTGTTGAAAAACCTGTTGCACACAATCCACTACATGCCTTCTGTCGTCTTGATTGATAGTCTAGACTTTTAGCGAGTCATTTTAGTATAATTGTAAAAACGTCCAGCTTCAGCTAATGGTTCATGTGTCTTTTTGCTTTTTATAAAGTAAACTTATGAATAACTTTGACATTGTCAGTAATATGTCAAGACATGAACACTTACTAGACTGAAGCAACTTAGGTTTACTTGAGTATCCATATATCATTTTTTTTTCTCAAATGTGAGTCTCAAATATGATCATCAGGCTTTTGAGGAAGATTTATTTCTTCATCTCTCAGTCATCATCGTATTGCATTGCATTGTGTTTTAAAACGACAGAGCTTTGATCATAAATCTAAGCATTTAAAAATCATCTTACTTAGACGTATTTTTGGCAGATATACAATAACGACTGATATTTATATGCAATTTATGTAAGTACTGTTATGCAAGTTATAAAGATCTCATTAATTTACATTACAAGCTATCAGAATTTATAATAATAAATATTGGCATGAGGTTTTATTGGTCAAACCATCAGATGTGTGAAAAGAGCTGATACACGTTTAAGTGTTAAATGTAATCGGACGAGTGTGAAAGGCTGTACCGATGCCGTGTTGTGCCCGATCACATATATAATCCTTCATGATACCGCCCTGATCTCTGTCCTCCTGTGATTCCAGAGATGTGTGTAAATGTGCGTGTCTCTTGTTGTGCTGTTGTCTTGTGTGTGTGTGAGGTGATACAGTGTGTGGCTCTGGGAGAGATTTGAGGCTTTAGTTTCACAGAGGTCAGGTTTCTGTGGTTGGGTACAGCGGAAGAGTTTAAAACACACTGACACCTTCGACCCTGCCATAAAATAGTTTAATAGCACTCCCTTTCCCTAATCACATCATCACACATCACAAATTACTATTGCTCATACTCATAAATCGATAACAATAAGTGTTAAATGAGTGCCTCGTATTAAAGACAGCGTGTCGAGTTAAAAGGTATGATGAGGCCTCTCGTTCTGTGCCGTCTGCTTTATCTAGTGCTATTTAAAGTGCCTTTTTTTATGTATTATTGTTTTGAGTAATTCAGTAAACTACATTCATGTGAAATTGACAACGCTCTATGATCGTCTATAGGTGATTCCACTAGTGCAGACACTGGGGCCTTGCAGCATGGAAAGGTGTGTATGCAAAGTGCATTTATATCATTTATTAAGTGCGTTTTTATAATTTAATTTATTACCTTATTATTTTCATTTATAGTGCATTTATAGAAAAAAAAAAAATATATAGAATGAGTGCACTTACAGTTTTGTTATTAATTATTAAGTCATAAAGAGGGCATAATAGTTTTATTTTTTTATTTATAATTTTTTAAGAGTGCATTTACAGTTTTATTTAAGCGCATGCATTTATAGAGTTTTGTTTGTTAATATATGTATTTATTATACCTTGAGAGGGCATTTATAGCTTTTTTTTTATTTACAGTCCATTTATATCATTTAATTTAATGCATTTATAGACTTTTTAACTAATACTTTGTATTTATATAAAGAGTGCACTTATAGTTTTGTTGTTATTTATTGATTAATTCATTCTTTTTAACATGGTAATTTCACTTCCTCTCTGATTTTTTTTTTTCTCTTCTGATTTTTTTCCTCAGCCTGTGGATTTCAGCTGGAATAAATACTTTGACGGGAATTTCCAGTTTGAGGACCATTCCCTCGTTTCCTGCATCCGTTCGAAGAAGGACGCGCAAGTAATGGAGTTCTTCAAACTCTTGTCCCTGTGTCACACCGTCATGGCTGAGGAGAAAGAAGAAGGTGAGGAAACAATATCTGCTGACCGTATGCAATGATGCATTTCAGATACACTAGTTTGCTACGTTGTCGTCACGTAACCCTATTTCGAGCATACTCAATTATTTAGCATTCTTAATCCTATTTTGTGTACTATCTGATCAAATAAATCAAAAGTTTACAAAAATCGCAGCTAATATTTCCTGCCCATTTTGTCACTTTCAGGTGAGTTGGTGTACCAGGCCGCATCTCCTGATGAGGGCGCTCTGGTCTCGGCCGCACGCAACTTTGGGTTTGTGTTCCTGGGCCGAACACAGGACACCATCACCATCTTAGAGCTGGACCAAGAGGTGACCTACACGGTGCTCGCTATACTCGACTTCAACAGCGACCGCAAACGCATGTCCATCATCCGTGAGTCCTCTTTCTCTTCTCCTGTTCCTGTCTGTCAATCACTGGCATCTGTTTCTCACTCTTTTGTGTGTTCGTGTGCAGTGAAATTTCCCAATGGTAGTATCCGTCTGTACTGTAAGGGCGCAGACACTATGGTCTACGAGCGTCTCGATCCAAATAGCAAGGATAAGGAATCGACACAAGAAGCTCTTAATGTGAGTACCAACACATTTATTAAATTCATTAACAAATGCTAATGAGGTTCAGCATGCAAATGCAAGTTTTTGTTTTTTGTGGAGCACAAAAGGAGAATTTTTAAATCTGTCAAGCTCCAAAACATACAAAATCATAAAAATATCATAAAAGTACTCAATATTACTCGTCTTCAGTATACGATGCGCCATGCCACATTTGATGTCATTGACACCCAATGATAGCTAAAAATCTTGTTTCATTTTGTTGACAAAAGTTTGAGTTTTCATCATGTTTTTTGGGAATAAAATGTGAATGCTATATGACCAAACCCCTCTGTAAAAACTTCAGCATATAGATAGGGATAAATCTGTAAAATTTGGTGTATGTAATGCACTCTCTATAAAGAAACATAACATCAATCAATAAAAAATAAAACTATAATTTCACTCTCTATAAATAAACAAATAAATAAATTATGAAATTATAAATGTACTCTCTATGAATAAAAACAGTAAAAATCAATCAATTAAACAGTACAAATGTACAATCAATGAATCTATAAATACATTAGATAGATGGACAGACAGATTGATAAATAGATAGAACGACAGATAGATATATTGACAGATAGATAGATAGATAGATAGATAGATAGATAGATAGATAGATAGATAGATAGATAGATAGATAGATAGATAGATAGATAGATAGATAGATAGATAGACGGATGGATGGATGGATGGATAGACAGATAGATGGATGGATAGACATAGATGGATGGATGGATAGATAGACATAGATGGATGGATGGATGGATGGATGGATGGATGGATGGATGGATAGATAGACAGACAGATGGATGGATGGATGGATGGATAGATAGACATAGATGGATGGATGGATGGATAGATAGACATAGATGGATGGATGGATGGATGGATAGATAGACATAGATGGATGGATGGATGGATGGATAGATAGACATAGATAGATGGATGGATAGATGGATGGATAGATAGATAGACATAGATAGATGGATGGATGGATGGATGGATGGATGGATGGATGGATGGATAGATAGACATAGATAGATGGATGGATAGATGGATGGATAGATAGATAGATAGATAGATAGATAGAACGACAGATAGATATATTGACAGATAGATAGATAGATAGATAGATAGATAGATAGATAGATAGATAGATAGATAGATAGATAGATAGATAGATAGATAGATAGATAGATAGACGGACGGATGGATGGATGGATAGACAGATAGATGGATGGATAGACATAGATGGATGGATGGATAGATAGACATAGATGGATGGATGGATGGATGGATAGATAGACAGATGGATGGATGGATGGATGGATAGATAGACATAGATGGATGGATGGATGGATAGATAGACATAGATGGATGGATGGATGGATGGATAGATAGACATAGATGGATGGATGGATGGATGGATGGATGGATAGATAGACATAGATAGATGGATGGATAGATGGATGGATAGATAGATAGACATAGATAGATGGATGGATGGATGGATGGATGGATGGATGGATAGATAGACATAGATAGATGGATGGATAGATGGATGGATAGATATACAGACAGACAGACATGGATAGATGGATGGATAGATATACAGACAGACAGACATACAGTTAGGTCCATATATATTTGGACACAGGCACAATTTTGACACTTTTGGCTCTGTATGCCAACAGAATAAAATTAAAATGAAACAATCAGGATGAATTTGAAGTGCAGACTTTCAGCTTTAATTCAAGAGGTTGAACAAAAATATCAAGTAAACATTTTAGAAACTGCAACCATTTTTATACACAGTCCCCCCATTTTCAGGGGCTCAAATGTAATTGGACAAATTAATATAATCATTAATAAAATGTTTATTTTTAATATTTTGTTGAGAATCCTTTGCAGGCAATGACTGCCTTAAGTCTGGAACTCATGGACATCACCAAAGACTGGGTTTCCTGCTTTGTGATGCTTTGCCAGGCCTTAACTGCAGCTGTCTTCAGTTGTTGTTTGTTCGTGGGTCTTTCTGCCTTTAGTTTTGCCTTCAGCAAGTGAAATGCATGTTCGATCGGGTTGAGATCAGGTGATTGACTCGGCCATTGCAAAATTTTCCGCTTCTTTTCCTTAAAAAACTCCTGGGTTGCTTTTGCGGTGTGTTTTGGATCATTGTCCATCTGTACCGTGAAGCGCCTTCCAATCAACTTTGCTGCATTTGGCTGAATCTGGGCAGGCAGTATATTCCTATACACTTCAGAATTCATCCGGCCGCTTCGGTCTTCTGTCACATCATCAATAAACACCAGTGATCCAGTCCCACTGGAAGCCATGCATGCCCATGCCATCACACTGCCTCCACCATGTTTTACAGATGATGTTGTATGCTTTGGATCATGAGCTGTTCCAAGCCTTCTCCATACTTTTTTCTTACCGTCATTTTGGTACAGGTTGATCTTAGTTTCATCCGTCCAAAGAATGCTTTTCCAGAACTGGTCAGGCTTTTTTAGATGTTTTTTGGCATAGTCTAATCTGACCTTTCTATTCTTTATGCTTATGAATGGTTTGCACCTTGTGGTGAACCCTCTGTATTTGCTCTCGTGAAGTCTTCGCTTGATTGTAGACTTTGACAATGACACGCCTACCTCTTGGAGAGTGTCCTTCAATTGGCTGGATGCTGTGAATGGGTTTTTCTTTATCATGGAGAGGATCCTGCAATCATCTACCACTGTTGTCTTCCGTGGACGTCCAGGCCTTTTTATGTTGCTGAGCTCACCAGTGCATTCTTTTTTTCTCAGAATGTACCAAACTGTTGATTTGGCCACTCCTAATATTCCAGCTATCTCTCGAATGGATTTATTTTGTTTTTGAAGCCTAATGATGGCCTGTTTGACTTGCATGGAGAGCTCCTTTGAACGCATGATGTAGGTTCACAGCAATAGATTCCAAATGCAAATACCACTCTTAGAATCAACTTCAGACCTGTTACCTGCTTAATTGATAAAGAAATAACAAAGGAATAGCCCACACCTGTCCAAGAAACCACTTTTGATTCAATTGTCCAATTACTTTTGGTCCCTTGAAAAAGGGGGGTGGCTACTCTCAAGAGCTGTAATTCCTAAACCCTTCATCCAATTTGGATTTAAATACTCTCAAATTAAACCTGAGAGTGTGCACTTTCAGCCCATATCCATTATGTAACTATAGCTTGAATATGTTTTGGTACATATCTGAAAAAAAAAAAAATTGTGCCTGTGTCCAAATATATATGGACCTAACTATAGATAGATAGATAGATAGATAGATAGATAGATAGATAGATAGATAGATAGATAGATAGATAGATAGATAGATAGATAGATACATAGATAGATAGATAGATAGATAGATAGATAGATAGATAGATAGATAGATAGATAGATAGATAGATAGATAGATAGATAGATAGATAGATAGATAGATAGATAGACATGGATGGATGGAAAGATGGAAAGATGGAAAGATAGATAGACAATTGAAATCTACAGACTCAAAGAGATAGTAAAAAGTGTAGTAAATAAACACTTTGAAGTTGAAGATGTTTTCCACAAACAACACGTTATGAAAAGCCAAAATAACCCAAACTCTCAAAATTGACCAGAGCATGAAAGAAACAATGTTTTTGCCTTAATGCAGAATAGCATTAAATTAGATTTAAATGAAAGTTGTAGGTTTTTTATGCTGAACAGTTTGATTTCTGTTCCAGATCTTTGCGAACGAGACCCTGCGGACTCTGTGTCTGGGCTACAAGGACATCAGTCAGGAGGAGTACGACGCCTGGGCTCTGAAGCACCAGCAGGCCAGCATCTCCATGGGGAACCGCGAGCAGGCTCTGGATGAGGTGTACGAAGAGATCGAGAACAACCTCATGGTGCGGAAATAAGAACGGAACATTTACAAATGACACAAGTGATAGATCGATATATTGGTCAGGCTTATTAATCTGCCAATCATTCACTAATTTCTACCGGCTGATAACTGTGTGAACTGGATGATTAACATTTGACATTTACATTTATTCATTTAGCAGGCACTTTTATCCAAAGTGACTAAAAATGAGAATAATATAATATCTCTAATGTTAAAATATTTTTACACTTTAAAATATTTGCTTATTTGTGCAAAAAATAAATAAATAAATAAAATATATATATATATATATTTTTTTTAAAGTTGCTGCAATTAAATTATTTATACACTATTAACTTAAAATTCAATTTAAAAATATTTTAACATTATAGATCTTATATTATTCTCATTTTTAGTCACTTTGGATAAAAGTGCCTGCTAAATGAATAAATGTAAATGTCAAATGTTAATCATCCAGTTCACACAGTTATTATCAACCGGTAGAAATTAGCGAATGATGTTATTGAATCATATTAAAATTATTAATTGATTATTTATTTGCATTTTTATGCATTTATGGACTTTTTGTTTACTTATTTGATTTTATTTATAGATTTTTTGAATTTATTATTGCATATAGAGAGTGTATTTATGTATTTATTCATTCATAGAGATATGTAATTGATAAATGTGCCATTTATGCTCGTTTATTCAGCTGATTGGAGCGACAGCCATTGAGGATAAACTTCAGGACGGCGTTCCGGAGACCATCGCAAAACTTGCCAAAGCTGACATCAAGATCTGGGTTCTGACCGGAGACAAGAAAGGTGAGCGGTGGACAAGGGCAATATTCTGTTGTTTTAAGGGAGATTGGTTTGATTTATAATGTGTTTGGTCTGTCACGTACTCAGAGACCGCTGAGAACATCGGCTACTCCTGCGAACTGCTTACAGACGACATGAAGATCCACTACGGAGAGGATGTGAAGTATGTTTGAGCTTACGGCATCATGTGTCTGTGACTGTGTGAGTGGTTCGATTCGGTTTCTAAAGTCGAGACTCTCTCGTTCTTTCTCTCTCAGTGTACAGCTGAGGAACAGACAGACCCAAAGGCGAAACGACCCTCAAGGACGCAGTAAGAAACTGAAGGAGACGTTTTTCCCAGAGGCGGGCAAGAACGCCCTCATCATCACTGGAGGCTGGCTGGTACAGTCATCCTCTGATTATCTCTCAGATTATGTTTTAAGACTAAACACAAAGCAGTGTTTCCAGTAGTTACCTAGACTACCTAGTCTAATCTGTGCTGCCACAGTTTCATAATGAGCTGAAAATATTTAAAAAAGATCTCTAACCTTGTTTTGCGCCATTGGTTTGGCAAAGTATCTGTCAAACGGCATGGCATGACCGTGGCGTTGCTGGCGCAATGCTCTACTGTTTGAGATCAAGCAATCTAGTCTGAACTATAGCTATAGGTAATACTATTTTGTCATCAAGTCCTGTGGAGTGACTCACCAAGTTGACCAGGACAAAAGGGAAATGAATAAAAGATTTTCAAGCCTTTAAAGCATAGGTTCTCAAAGTGCGGCCCGCGGGCCAATGGCGGCCCGCCGAAACATTTCTGGCGGCCCGCGATAACATCTGTAAAACTGTTAAAACTGTTGCTTTGAAAAAATGAATATCTCCGTTTAGTGGTGTTTAGCGGCATCCATAGGCATAAGCGGTAATTACATGGTCCGACCGACCGATCGCACTTGACCTCACTCCCAAGGCCACCAGGAACAGTGGTTGTCTACACAGGAATAGGAATCGTGGCCAACCGAAACCAGCCCCACAAATCCCATTGCAATTTAAAAGGGTATGTTGACCAAGTAATCAATATTCAATGTGACTTAATAATAATCTTAACAATGTCAAGCTTATTAATGGCCGCGTTTCCATTACCTTTCAAAATGTTCGCGGGCGCGAACACTTGCATTTTCCTATCAACAGTGGAAACAACTTAAACTAGTCTATCATTTCTGGTCATACAGAAAATAATAATGCATTATTCGCAACTACTTTTATTTGTGTAAACTCATAACAAGAAAACGTGCTTTTGTAAAATAAAATAAAACAATCAGTAGCCTAGGCTACTACGCGCTTTCATGATCTCCGTGAACTGGAGCGCGAGAACTGAAACAAAATATAGCCTATGTAGGCTAAAGCTTAAAATGTGCACTTTTAAACAAACAAACTCGAATCGAAAGCAAATACCTGATTATGTAATCCGTATGAAAGGTGGATTTCTCTCTAAAAGCGCATCTGCTTAACAGCGGAGATGGAGATATGTTTTTAGCCAACACTTAGAAAACAATAGTTTATTAATAAACAATTAAAATGCCTCGCTGTTTTTTCAGACGCATTTATTATCATTAGCCTATAACTCACCTATAAATCAGGCTAGATCAGACACGTACAGGCTATATGGCTCTTCTCATTCATCACTGCGGGAAAAATATAAATTCCAGGTTCTAATTTGGCCTTAGAAAACCAGTAAAATCTACATGTTTTCCATATTAATTTGTGAATATTTAAAATGTTTAATAAAGGGGCAAAAAGTCATTTAAACAAAAATCTGAAAAAGTCTGTCGATATATTTACTTTTTTTGCGCAGCAGTTGGTGAAGCCAGTTCAAATTAAAATTTTGTTCAACTTTGCGTTTTAAAAAGACAACAACCGTTCATTTTTCGTTTTTCAGTTACGGGTTAAAAAAGATCGATAATAATATGCAAATCTGCAATAATGGAAACGCGACTGACAAGCAATGATAGAAATGAATGATGATGATGACTTGTTTGGTAAGCTTCTATTTTAAAAGTTTCTTTCTCTCCCCCCCCCCAAAATTTTCACAAGTTTTGCCAGGTTTAGCCTCAGTTATGAATTAAAATGTGTTTATTGCAACTAATGTAAACTGTAGAGATGCAACCTGGTCATTAAAATAATTTCAAATGGGATTTTCTTTTCAGTTTTTTTTTCTTCGTTTTCTCCCCCGCCACTTTGGCGGCCCTCAGTTCAATGTTGGGTTCCTATATTGGCCCTCACCTATCAAAACTTTGAGAACCCCTGCTTTAAAGGGACACTATGAAGTTTGTTTTAGCTTAACTGAACAGCTTTGGAGTTATTGAAATGGTTATATGACTTCTTTCGGGTTGAATGGTGGCCGTTCTGCTACTGGACCATTAAAGTACATGGGGATAACAGTCGGATCTATGTATTTAATCACGTGAAAATTCTCACCACTAACAACAAATATTATAGATCTCATTAAACGACAAATTAAACACAATGTACTATTGTATACTACTATGTAACACGTCACGTCATGTCACGCTCTGCGTGAGTGGTATTTACGACAGTAACGTTAAAGGGATACTTCACCTCTGGAAAGATGAATGTGTACCGTATTTTCCGCACTATACGGCGCACCGGATTATAAGGCGCACCTTCAATGAATGACCTATTTTAGAACATTTTTCATATATAGGGCGCACCGGATTATAAGGCGCATAAGATACTGCAGTCAAATGTTTGACTGGGTTTGCGTTATTCATCCACTAGATGTCAACAAATGTCAACAAAACAGTCAGATAAAGTCAAACTTTATTAAGCGTTCTGACAACTCCGTTCACTCCCATGGTAACGTTGTTCAAACGTTAAAGGAAAACTCTGGTCAATTTTAACATTGAGCTCATTTTTTGTAAATTTGGAGTGCTGTCAGTACAGATAACAACGCCAAAAACCGGTGTTGCCTACACCGTGTTATCCTCTTTTTAAAATTTGCACCCTGTTGACTTAAACGGGACAAGTTTTAAACCTGCTTTTAGCCTCTTAACAACCTTAATGTGTCATTACAAGTGCACAGCCATGTGAGTGAACACGGTGAATCTGACTGCAGTAAATGTGAAAGATATGAATAAAAATTATGTTTATTCAGCCATACCCGTATTTTCTTCCTGTTTTCGGTCGAAGTCCACCATAGGCGATTGTCGAGTGCGCGCGCGCGATCATTGGTAACTAAGCAACAGTGGAGACTCAGACTGTCAGCCGATGACGGTGCTGTGTGGTGTTCTGAGAATATCAGCTCAAATGGATAGTTCATCCGAATCAGATGTTGAACACACGGAGGAGGTTTGATCGCGCGCAGCGCGCGAACTCGACAATCAACTACTGTGGACTTCGGCCGAAAACAGGAAGTAAATACGGGTATGTGAGCCGGCTGAATAAAGAGATTATTCCTGCCTTCGTGAAAGCTCGGATCACAGTTGAGACTGATATATCAGCCCAGGCATCCACGATCCATTGGCAGATAGTCGCGTAAGTCGCCCGGCGCTGTCTCCCCGTCTTGGTGAACGTGTGTTCACCATCCATATATAAGGCGCTCCGGATTATATGACGCACTGTCGTTTTTTGAGAAAATTAAAGGCTTTTAAGTGCGCCTTATAGTGCGGAAAATACGGTATTTAAAATGGGTCATTTATGTAGAAATTATTTTTGAATTTGGAGCTTTCTAGACTGAGAAAAGCCAGAAAATGTATTTTTGGCTTATGTGGATGAAAGACAACAACTCCCAGAATGCACTTGCTTCGCTGCCCTAGGAGGCCACGCCTACCGGTAACAGAGCGCAGTAGTTAAACAACAAGTCTAGGCTACTAGTGAGTCTCCGTGATGAGTCTGCACGGGATTTCGAGATCGCCCAAAATGTCCGGGATTCGGCTTTTGCGTTCTACAGTCGCCATTCATCATGTTTACTGTGGCGAGCAGGACGAGTGAGGGCCGCGGGAGAACGGCGCGAGGCCGGTGGCGTGATTACTGATGAGCGACACCTGTGAGACGCACCGGACTCGTATCTCTCTCTCACGGAGGACATTGACCATTTACATTCAGATTCAACAATCGGAATGAATTCAGTTAGATTGAAACAAAAGGTGTCTGAGAAAAAGAGGATGGTAACCCCTACTACTCAGCTTTCTCCTATTAAGATACTCAGGTTTCTCCACAGAACAAGAGCCTGCTAGCTTAGCTTCCAAAAAAAGATGTCTGACACTATGTGTCCATTCTGTGAGTGAGATCCCAGCCTCTATGGGCGGGTTGGGAACATGCGGGACAGCCCCTTCTACTGGCTCTAGTCTTTAGCCTCTGGCCAAAAAATACTCCGATGACGCAAAATGACGATTTTTGCGTCATCGGAGGATTTTTTCCAGACAAAAAATACATAAATCTCTCGTCTCAGGGGGATATGAGGGTGGAAAGCATAGTAATTTGAAAATACTACAGGTTTTCTACTAATACAAAGCTTAATGCTAAATCCTGAAGTATCCCTTTAAATACAAGTACTCCACAGCGACTCCAGGGGTCGTTGTTTGACAAAACCGGAATTCCTGCATAGTGTCCCTTTAAGTTACAAATTTGTATCTCCTTCTAGGAATTTAAAGTCACTTTCTCCTCTCCATGCAGAATGAGATACTGTACGAGAAGAAAAAGAAGCGGCGTCGCTTGCGTCTGAAGAAGCTCAGGAAACGGTACAGGAACTCCAACAACCCTCAGGACGTCAACCAACCCATCGATGAGTGGGAGAAGGAGAAGAGACAGGAAGACTTCGTTGACATGGCGTGTGAATGCAGCTCGGTGATCTGCTGTCGAGTGACACCCAAACAGAAGGCAAACGTGGTCAGTCTGGTGAAGCGCTACAAGAAGGCCGTGACCCTGTCCATCGGGGACGGAGCCAATGACGTCAACATGATCAAGAGTGAGTTTAACTGATCCTGACCAGTGTTTTTTTACTGTCAATAGCTGTTTCCATCCAAAGTTGCATGTTTAACTTATGGTCAAACTTGGAATATTGCATAAAATATCGTGGCATTTTTATCCAGTGATTTTGCAAGATCCCAAAATTCGCATACAAGATAGGTGTATGGAATGGATACATATCTAATGACATACTGTTATTATTATTATTTTTAAATATATTTCAATTTTAGTTAAAGTTTTAGCATTTTGCTATTTTTATATTTTCATTTTTTGTTTATTTTAAATTTTATTTCAATTTCTGTTTTAATTATTTTAGTAGATATTATTGATGTTATTGGTTAATTTTAAAATTATCAATTGATATTTATTTATTTAGTGTGCATTTGTAGAATTATTTGTTTACTTATTAGTTTTTGTATTTATTATTGTAGATTTTTTAGAAAGTGCATTTATAGTTTAGTTTTTATGCATTTATTCATTCATAGAGATATATAATTGATAAATGTTTTTTATTTCAGTTCAAATGTATTTTATTTAAAGTGTTAAGTCATATTACATGTTTAAAAGAGAGCCAACCCTTGTGTCCCCATGCTCCTCTGCAGCTGCAGACATCGGTGTGGGCATCAGTGGGCAGGAGGGGATGCAGGCCGTGATGTCCAGCGATTACGCCTTCGCTCAGTTCCGCTTCCTACAGCGCCTCCTGCTGGTCCACGGCCGCTGGTCCTACATCCGAATGTGCAAATTCCTGCGTTACTTCTTCTACAAAAACTTCGCCTTCACCCTGGTGCACTTCTGGTTCTCCTTCTTCAATGGATTTTCCTCACAGGCAAGAGAAGGATTTCAGTATCTCTAAATCTCTGTTTTAAGCTGATTCTTGTTTTTAAACAGTCTTGTTTGTGTTGTGTTAGACGGCTTATGAAGACTGGTTCATCACCCTGTACAACGTTTGCTACAGCAGTCTGCCCGTTCTCCTCGTCGGTCTTCTGGATCAGGTATCGCTTGTCAGAGAATAATGGCAAAGAGAAGCTAGGCTTATCACAGAATTGATGTTTTTATGTATTATAAAAAAAAAAATGTTCACAGTCATGTAAATTGCAGTCAAACTAATTTATCAAAAAATGCATACATAACTATTTATTTATTATCTGCATTTAAAAGACATCTAAGCTTCTTTTAAATTGCCTTTAAAAGAAATGCAATTGGATTTTGTAACTTCCCATCATGTTTCGTAGCATAATTCAGGGTTATTAGCGTTAACTAAAACTGTTAAATAATATAAAATATGTATGTATTTGTGTGTGTGTATATATATATATATATATATATATACAGGTCCTTCTGAAAAAATTAGCATATTGTGATAAAGTTCATTATTTTCCATAATGTAATGATAAAAATTTAACTTTCATATATTTTAGATTCATTGCACACCAACTGAAATATTTCAGGTCTTTTATTGTTTTAATACTGATGATTTTGGCATACAGCTCATGAAAACCCAAAATTCCTGTCTCAAAAAATTAGCATATTTCATCCGACCAATAAAAAAAGTGTTTCTAATACAAAAAAAAAAGGTCAACCTTCAAATAATTATGTTTAGTTATGCACTCAATAGTCAATACTTGGTCAGGAATCCTTCTGCAGAAATGACTGCTTCAATGCGGCGTGGCATGGAGGCAATCAGCCTGTGGCACTGCTGAGGTGTTATGGAGGCCCAGGATGCTTCGATAGCGGCCTTAAGCTCATCCAGAGTGTTGCGTCTTGCGTCTCTCAACTTTCTCTTCACAATATCCCACAGATTCTCTATGGGGTTCAGGTCAGGAGAGTTGGCAGGACAATTGAGCACAGTAATACCATGGTCAGTAAACCATTTACCAGTGGTTTTGGCACTGTGAGCAGGTGCCAGGTCGTGCTGAAAAATGAAATCTTCATCTCCATAAAGCTTTTCAGCAGATGGAAGCATGAAGTGCTCCAAAATCTCCTGATAGCTAGCTGCATTGACCCTGCCCTTGATAAAACACAGTGCACCAACACCAGCAGCTGACATGGCACCCCAGACCATCACTGACTGTGGGTACTTGACACTGGACTTCAGGCATTTTGGCATTTCCTTCTCCCCAGTCTTCCTCCAGAATCTGGCTCCTTGATTTCCGAATGACATGCAAAACTGAGCAACAGTCCAGTGCTGCTTCTCTGTAGCCCAGGTCAGGCGCTTCTGCCGCTGTTTCTGGTTCAAAAGTGGCTTGACCTGGGGAATGCGGCACCTGTAGCCCATGTCCTGCACACGCCTGTGCACGGTGGCTCTGGATGTTTCTACTCCAGACTCAGTCCACTGCTTCCGCAGGTCCCCCAAGGTCTGGAATCGGTCCTTCTCCACAATCTTCCTCAGGGTCCGGTCACCTCTTCTCGTTGTGCAGCGTTTTTTGCCACACTTTTTCCTTCTCACAGACTTCCCACTGAGGTGCCTTGATACAGCACTCTGGGAACAGCCTATTTGATCAGAAATTTCTTTCTGTGTCTTACCCTCTTGCTTGAGGGTGTCAATGATGGCCTTCTGGACAGCAGTCAGGTCGGCAGTCTTACCCATGATTGCGGTTTTGAGTAATGAAACAGGCTGGGAGTTTTTAAAAGCCTCAGGAATCTTTTGCAGGTGTTTAGAGTTAATTAGTTGATTCAGATGATTAGGTTAATAGCTCGTTTAGAGACCCTTTTCATGATATGCTATTTTTTTGAGACAGGAATTTTGGGTTTTCATGAGCTGTATGCCAAAATCATCAGTATTAAAACAATAAAAGACCTGAAATATTTCAGTTGGTGTGCAATGAATCTAAAATATATGAAAGTTTAATTTTTATCATTACATTATGGAAAATAATGAACTTTATCACAATATACTAATTTTTTTAGAAGGACCTGTGTATATATATATATATATATATATATATATATATATACACACACACACACAAATACATACATATTTTATGTTATTTAACCGTTTTAGTTATTAGCGTTAACTAAAACTGTTAAATAATATAAAATATGTATGTATTTGTGTGTGTGTATATATATATATATATATATTGTTGAGAAACAACTAATGTTAACGTAAACAACTAATGTTAACGCTAATTATTGTTCCAATTTGAAGCACTAAAATTACTAAATGAAAATTAATAAAAAATTAAACTGAACTTAAACTAAACCTATTAGAAATATTAAACTAACTGAAGCAAGTTTTAAGCTGAAGCACTAAAATTCAGTGCCGTTTCTGTGAGCTTTAAACAGTATGAAAATCAACATGAAATTTAAATAATGTACTTTCCTAAAGGTGCAGTAAGCAATTTCTGAGAAACACTGTTGATATTTGAAATCGACATCCAAACAAACACACCCCTCCCTTCATTGCTCTGCCCCCAAAATAACAAACACGTTATGCAACACTGGCCACGACTAACATCAGACAGCTTGCGCAAGTATGGATGAATCAGCTGTGATTCAACAACAACAACAGCATAACTTGGTTCTGTGTTACTCATGTATCGAGCAGAAACAATGCAAGCTTGGCATCCGTTTTCAGGCCTTCCTGCTCTCTGACGTCTCTCCAGCGCTGGAAAGCTTTCCCAATATTACCGTGGGTCCTAAAGCTCTTGTCTGTTCGTAACCCTTCACCTATATTCCTCTGACCCTTCCCTCTTTAGTAAAATCCCCGTTTGCTCGCTATCTCTCCTCCCCTTCATAAGCGGATACGCCCCCTGCTGCTGATTGGCTACGAGAGTTTATAGCGTTGTGGTTATTGGTCCGACCCACATTGTTTTTTTCTCCTACTTACACAGCCAAGACTATGTAAAAACACTTTTTTTGAGCGCACACAGCACAGACATCTGGCTAATATACACAAAATTTTGCTTGTTTAAATTTTCAACAGTGTTTCTCAGAAATCGCTTACTGTGCCTTTAAATACACGTTCCCAGCTTTTAAACCACATCTTTTTTTTCCTTGTGTAGGATGTGAATGACAAACTGAGTTTACGGTTCCCGAAGCTGTATCTTCCCGGCCAGCAAGGATCGTTGTTCAACTACAGGAACTTCTTCATCAGTTTGTTCCACGGCATCTTCACCTCCCTCATCATCTTCTTCATCCCGTACGGTGCGTTCCAGCAGACTATGGGACAGGACGGGGAGGCTCCGTCCGATTACCAGTCCTTCGCTGTGGTGGCAGCCTCCTCGCTCATCATCACCGTCAACCTGCAGGTACGCGATTGGCCAATCTTGATCATGTGACCACATTTCATTGGGTTTTATATTGCACAACAAACTTTTCAGTTTCCAAATAAGGAGACATATATTTTGTAGCTTGTTTCTAACATGGATTGAACTTGACTATAGAGCTGATCTTTATATAAAGTTCTAGATGATTTCTTGTTGATCTGATTTAGTGTTTTTTTTTCTTGTCATCCCCAGATCTCATTAAACACCTCCTACTGGACATTCGTGAACTTTTTTGCAGTGCTCGGGAGTATAGCCCTTTACTTCGGCGTCATGTTTGACATCCACAGTGCAGGAATCCACGTCATTTTCCCAACGACCTTCACTTTCACAGGTGGGCAATAAAGTCATAGTAACCTTTATTTACTTTATTAAACCTTTATTAAAGGGATAGTTCACTTTGAAATTAATTTTTGATATGTTTTAGCTTACCTCAAGGGCATCCAAGATGTAGGTGTCTTTGTTTCCGCAGTAGTTTCAATTTTGATATTTTTAGGTCAAACCGTTCTTGTCTGTCAGTCATATAATGCAGGTCTATGGTCACCACCTCAAAGAGCATGCACAGAGAAGTCCAAATTAAACATGATTTAATGACTCGTAAATGTAAGTACACATTGATGGCCTAAGACACGAAACGAGCGGTTTGTGTGAGAAAACGAACAGTATTTATATCGTTTTTACCTCTTGTAACCACAGCCACGTCCAAGTGATCTGAGGGCGCGGGCGCTTCGGTCTGTGCGTTACAAGAGGTAAAAACAATATAAATACTGTTCTTTTCTCACACAAACCGCTCGTTTCGTGTCTTAGGCCAGTGCTTTGTGCTAGTGGTTGTTGTGTGAATGAGCGGCCGGAGCACGTTAAGGGTTTTCTGTTGGAACGGTGTTGTGTATGCGTCGTGACCCCTAAGTTAATAACTAATGATCTTTGCAATGGAAGTGAATCAATCAAAACGAACTTTAGCTGGACAGTGACTTTATTCTAGAGCTGCTGTAAAGCCTAAACAATCTCTGTTACTTTAATTTCCTATTATCACTGAAGCTGCTTTGAAACAGTCTGTATTGTTAAAAGCGCTATATAAATGAAGGAGACTTGACTTGACTTTATTCCACAATGTCTACTGGTATAATCGATAGCGATGGGTGATATGAGCAAAAGGTTGTATCACAATTTTATGATTCTTGAGATTTAAACATTGGATGATATACATGTTTTATAGAAATGTGATTCAAAAGCTACAGAATTAAATAATCACAGGTCGTTTTAACATAAAATAATGGCTAAGAGATGGTAGGCTTTATTATAGAGTTGAGGAATATTGATGATTATTTATTATTTTATTTAATCGCCATGTAAATTAGTCAAACAAATGTATCAACTATTTAAAATACTTTTTTTTTAATTGCATTTAAAATAAATTTAGGCTTTTTTAAATTGAATATATGAATTTGATGTCATTTTGAAACTTCCCATCATACATTTAGTCGCATAATGCAGGGTTATTATTGTTAACTAAAACTGTTCAAACTTTTTGTTTATTGAAATAAAGCTCAATTAGAATAAAATATAAATATTAGATTAAAACTTTAAGTGAAAATTTGAACCTAACTGCAATAAGAAGTTCAAAGTAGCACTAAAGCACTAAAATTACAAACTGGAAATCAGTTTTAAACAATATATTAAACATAAAAATAGTAAAAGTAAAACAAATGACAAAAACACAAATTACGCTCAATCTTTAAACCTGAAAATATAAAGCTGGAAAAAAATAATATTATTATAAATATTAGATGAAAATCTTAAATTAAACAAAAATTTGAAATATGAAAACACTAAAATTAGTAACTGGAAAATGCATAACTGAAATAAAAATGAATTCATCTTAAATTGTAATATAAAAAATTAATACAAATGACAAAAGTGCATAACAATTTTTTTTTAAGTAATACTGAAAAACTGACAACATAAAAAAAGCTATATTAAAATATGAATAAAAACTATAATAGTATATAAATAATACTAAAGTAACACATTTGGGCTGTAAGCTTCCATGGCGCACAGGAAACCTTTACTACACTGTTATTTCCACTATTCATTCTCAAACAGAGCCCATGTTATGGTCTGGTGTGTAATAATCTCGTCGTTGTTCTGACGTCTAGGTGCCGCGTCGAACGCCCTGAGACAGCCGTACCTGTGGCTGACCATCATTCTGACGGTGGGAATCTGTCTTCTTCCTGTCATCTGCATCCAGTTCCTCTATCAAACCATCTGGCCCTCTGTTGGAGACAAGGTGAGATCAGTGGCGTCCTCAAACAGCACCTATAATGCTTTCTTCAGTGTGTAATGTTGCTGTTTGAGCATGAAAAAGCTCTGCAAGGTTACAAAGAGTTCTTCTCTATATCAGTGTCAGTGTTTCTGAACTCCCTGAAACGCCTCTATTGTAGTCTTCAGTTTCTTCCGGGAACAAACACGTCACAATATTCCTCATTTAAATAATTAATACGCAGAATAAAGGGGCGGGGCCTGGTTGAGTTAGTTAGTAGTGTGTTAAATCTCATGTTATGGTAAGGGGAGGGACATTTTTCAAACACAATAGAGCAGTTGACCAATCACAACACACTGATCCAGCCGACCAATCAGAGCACAGTGTGCTTTTCAGAAGGAGGGGCTTCATAGAGACAGGAACTAAACCGAGCGTTACTGACAGACTGAGAAGAGACGATCTGCAACAGTGACAAATATGAGACAAATAATTCATTTCAATTCACATTTCAAAGCAGCTTTACAGAAAATGCACGTCTACATTACAATTTAGAGTGATCTGTTATTAGAGGTGACATTGTCCAAGTTATGCATTTCAGAAATGTGTGAACATTGAAGCATGAAAACCTATTCTAATAGAGCTCAGCCCAGAAACAAAATCAACACATAATTGGTGACGCACAGAATATTCTAGGTTAAATTCACCATACAGATGTTTTATTGTTTCTGAGTCTCATGTTCTTCCTCCAGGTCCAGAGGAACAGGAAGAAATATGAGCTTGAGGATGAAGAGGAGGAGAGGAGGAAGAAGAAGCCATCATTCGTGCGTGGCGGACGGTCTCGTCGCTCAGCTTACGCCTTCTCGCACTCCCGCGGCTACGCCGACATCATCTCTACGGGGCGCAGCGTTCGCCAGCGGCCGCGCGTTCGTCCTGAACTCAGAGACAGCATACGAGAGGTTCCTCAGGCTGAAAACATCTGAGACACCCTCTACCTGCTGAGTAGAACATGCGTAATGTGCCTTTACCCGGTCATATCTGAGCTGCCCACTGGAACGGGCCAATAGGAAGAGGCTACGTGTCATTTAAGGGGCGGGACAAATGAAAGAGCCAATGGGAAATGGGGGAAGAAGGGCTTTAGAGGGAAAGTACAAGTAAACACTCACCGATGACCTGTACAGGTTTTAACGTTGTGCACTGCGTACAACAAATTGTTTTTCTCAGGTTTTTACCGTGTGTTTTTTATTTTGGAGTCACATTTTTGTCCATTTTTTGCACAAGTACAATTAAGGGTCCTGCCCTTCAAAAAAGAGAGAGAGAGAGAGAGAGAGTGTGTGTGTGTGTGTGTGTGTTTCTAATCTCATCACCGATTAAAACGTTCTTTCTTTATACACTGCAAAGAATCATTTTCTTACAGTATTTTTTCCAGTAAAATATAAAATTTCTTAAAATAATATATATTTAGTTAAGCAAAATGGTGTAAGATTTGACATATATATATATATATATATACAGATAATATATTTTATTTTATTTCTCACCCCCTTGAAAAATATCATAAAACTAAATTTTATAACATTCTTTAAAATGTATACTTTAAAAGTTAATTCACCTCGTTTAAGGGTCTTGTCTATTTTTACTGAAACACAAGACAAAAATACTGATTAAGAAAAAGATTGTTTTAATTTTGCAGTGTAGTGAAGGTGTTGATTTAAATTATTTTCTATATCTTTCTAGACCTTTATCTTTAAATGTGAACTTGGTAAGGAACCATCATTCAAAATGTTTTTTTGTTGTTGTTTTTTTTGGATCCCTTTTGCAGAATGTCCAAGCAAAGGCCCGAACCCCACAAACCTCACAATGAAATCTCCTCACGGTTTAATCTGCAGGGTGTTGGTGTTTTGTTCTAGATGATGTTCCTTATGAGCCGTGAAAGAATGAATGGATTTTAGAGTGGTGAAACCTCATGTTTACATAAATACTTCTGAACTCATGTGTTCCTCAAGGCCTCCGTCTTCAACGGAAACCGTTCATGCTCTATTTTTCAACACATGTCCCGTAAAATCTGCCCTAGAGGGTCATAGATCATTTTTAATGCACTCGTTGTGGTGTCTTCTCTGATTTAATATTTCATTGTTCTGAGAGTTCTTCTTAAATGGGTCGTCTTGCCATCAGCTCCACACAGAAATGTCTGTCTGCGCAAGAATGAAGCCTTAATGACATTGACTTTGTTTTCTTATATCATAGAATTGACTTCGCACTTTGGTACAGGGACTTGGGAGGCGGACATATATTTCTCATTTTAACCCTAGTTACATGAAACCTGTTACAAGATTTCAAATAATCTACCATATAATAATATCGTTTATGAGAAAACACTATATTTATTAGGCTGGTTGTTCTAAATGTGCATATTGAATGAACCGAAAGGCTTTCCCTGGCCATATCAATGTGACAGATTTACTTTTACACAGCTCTGTGGATTGTCTGTCTGTAATGTACTGTAATATACAAATGTCTATAAATAAAGAAAAAGATATAGAACTTTTGGCTTTGAGACGTTGTTTATGGTGAAAAGTACATTCTTCATTTTTCATGTTTATTATTACCATTGTTGGCATTACATGCATTACAAGATTGCGTTACTTCCTAAAATAGCATTAATTAGCTACTTTTTATGGAAAGTAATGTTGCATTTGTATTTTGGCATATGTAAAGGCCCTTTCACACTAGAAGTGCAAATGCAAAAGGAAATGCAAGTCCACACCTGTACAGTAGAGGGGGCCGCTCAAACAACCACTGTTCTGGATTGCAGAAGAATAGGACACAGGAAAAGAAGTTCAACACTTCAGCAATGAAAACTAAAAAAATCGAGTCATTTTTGCTTATTAGTATATGGCTGAATTGGATCATCGAAGGTCAGTAGCACATACAATCAAATGAGATTAAAAAAGCCTAGTTTCAGAAACTGGGGTTAGATTAAGCCATTGGGTCTTAGTTAAATTAGTGCTTTTAAGCAGCTTTTTTAAATCTTGAGACAAAACAATAAGGCTGACATATTTTAAGATATCACTGTTACTTCACTGTTTTTATTCATTTTGAGGAATAGCTGAATCTGATTTTGTGCAAGTAGTGTGATGAGTAAATGCATGTTCACATTTAGTCTAGAACTGAAATACACTAGGATGAACTTACTCCTGATCTCTCTCAACATGGAGACAGGAGAGCTGTCAGTCAATACAATTAACTTGCATTACTAATTTGAAAAAGTAACTCCGATATTTTATTGTAAATTTAAAAGAAATGCATTAGTTTAGTAGTTACTTAAAAAAAAAAGTAATCTGATTATGTAACTCACGTTACTTGTAATGCTTTCCCCCCAACACTTATTATTACTAAGACTATAAATCACGAGAATAAAGGCTGCTCATCAAGGCTGCTTTTATTTGATCAAATATGCAGTAAAAGTAGAAATATTGTGACATTACACTTTAGAATAACTGTTTTCTATATGTATATATTGTAAACTGTAATTTATTCCTGTGATCAAAGGTGAATTTTCAGCATCATTACTTTTAATATGCTGATTTGATGCTCAAAAAAACATTTCTGATTATTATCAAAGTTGAAAATATACATTACCTATGTATATCTGAGTATCGTTAACAACGATTTTATAGTATTTATTAGTTTTCACCGTGGCGAATTTATGAACCCCTGCTACGCATATTTATAAGTATGTATATCTAGCTATAATGTAAGGCTAATACTGAATATTTATAAGATCGTGATTGCTTACGTTACCTGGCAATCTTCTTTAAGGATTCTAATGAATATTCATGAGTTTCTCCGCCTCTAGGATTGGAGTGTTATTCTGCGCGTGCTCGCGATGTCACGAGCGTCAGTGGTGACGTGGAGACGCAGAGCTAACAGAGTCAATACAGCTCAAACTTACACTGTAAAACACACTTTACTGGAAATTTACCATTACTAATTACAACTCATTTAGTTTTTTTTCCTCCGAAAATACATAGACGCTTGTCTTAAGGATCGCGAGGGGCTTTTCTGAGGCGCTGTCAATTCTGACATTCATCAGGTAAGTTATTCTTGACGTTAGCCTGCTAGCATGCCAGCATTGAAGCTAACCTGTTTATAATGGATTTCTCCATTCACTCGAGTCTGCAAGCTAATTGTTGCTAAGTGTATAGCTTACTGGACACTTATTAACTTCTACACAGGGAGTTGCATACCATAATATAGTCATATCAAATTCATATTTAACTGCATTCTAGTGGTTTTATCTGCGGTAGGTATAGAAGCTGTGAAGTGAGTTATTTGACAGCCCTCTGAGGAAAAGCCCAAATATGTCTAAGTAAATTATTTCCATTATTTACTGGAAGTTTTGAATGACATATTATTAATCAGTCTTCACCAGCCTTGTGTGAAATCATAGGCTGTGTATATTGGACAGTATTTGTGTTCATCGTGTATTGTAATGTGTTCGTTGCACTGCTGTTGTACAGACTGTAGTCTAAACATTGATGTCCTGCAGGTGTTTGACCTAATCTCTGTATGTGTGTAACTTACCTGTATTCTGTAGGTTATTCATGAGGTACTTACCTGTAGTCTGTTGTCACCTCTAATGTTGATAGCAGATCTTGATGGCATTTAATTCATTATTGATTTTAGTAATTGGCAAGATATTTTGCACCATTACATCATGATTGTTTGTGGCTTGGAGCATCTTTGAGCGAATCTCACCAAAATCTATCAAGACCTTGTTTGAGTCATATTCCTAAACTACAAAGATAGAATCAAGACTACTATTAAGATAGTGGCATTTTTTTTTTTCATTCCCCCAAATCTCTTGGAAATGGGAAGAAATGTCTCCCGTATCTTATTACTGTTATATAAATATATCGGTAACGCTTCCTTTTACAGTCCTGTTACCCATGTACTTACTATGCACTTATTATAGTAACTATAATTACTGGGTAGTAACTAGTTACTAACCCTGAACCTACCCCTACCCCATGTACTTACCTTATATTAGCCAGTGCTTTCTAGGAAAGTACACTGTAAGTACACGTAAGTACACGTAAGTACTGTACTGTAAAAGGAAGAGTTACCAATATATCTATATATTTATATATGTGTGTGTGTGTGTGTGTGTGTGTGTCTGTATATGACAATTTAAAATAACTGTTTTTTCTATTTTAATATATTTTAAAAATATTTTTTTTTCCTGTGATAGTAAAGCTGAATTTACTCTGCAGCCTTTACTATTAACAATTACAATTACATAATTAAGAATTGAAGTGAAAATGTGCTTAATTGCCATGAAAATAATGTCACAGTACAAATGTATGCAGGTTTGTGAGACACAAAATAAATGAGTTTCCTTGTTAGTCAAGAAGAGAGGTCACGTCATCTTATCTGATCGGATCAAATGTAATATTAACCAGGATGTTTAACGAAAACCGTCACTGCTTTTCGGCAGTTTCTGAAGAGAGTTTCACAATCCACATCAGGGAACCAGTGGCACATCAACAATGTGTGTGTAAGGGTGTATGTGCTTAACAAAGAGGTGTGTGCTTGTGTGTTAGGGCTCTGTGTCTACCCATCAAACCTGTTTCAAGTGTGTGGACTTTAGTTACATGTCTAGTGTGATTCCTCCTCCATGTCTTATTTGTCCAACTGATTACTTTACTTAATGAAATGATTGCTCTCATGATCCTCCAGGTTTTGCTTGGCTGGCGATGAGGCTCTGAGGCAGTCTCTAGTGGTTTCTGGAGGCGATGGGTGCAAACACCAGTCAGGTGAGCGACCTGTCGGAGAGCCAGAGCATCCGCAATCTGATTGGTCCAGACGCCATATCGGAGAATGAGCCCTTCTGGAACCAGCTGATCTCCTTCACCTTCACTAGCCCCACCTGCAGGTGAGACGCTCCTCTGACCCCCATCACTGATGTCCCATACACTCAGGGATGCAAACTTATCTCTCTGCGAAAATCGCCATTTTGAATAGGAAAAATAAGTTGTTTGTGTGATTCGTTTAGATCTGATGAGTTTTAAATTGGGATAGGAAAGGAGTCGCGACAAATCCAGTGTTTCAAAGAAACTCGATTTCACAAACTGTGTGTTTGGATGGCTTATAATGTGCATTTGAATATGCAACGCAGTCCATCTTCCTAAATTTGTAAAGAGAATCTATAAATCTGTTGTCAACAAAAATGTCTACCAGCGGTTTTCCACCAGAATAAAATATCTGTTTTACAGTTTGAAAGCAATCAAGACAGATGTAGTATTGTAATTTTACTGTTCTGTAAAATAAATTTGTATTACTATTATGAAATTAAATATTTTACAATACAATAGTATTATTACTATAGTAATATATATTCTATATTGGTTTGTTTAGCTTTTTTATTTATTTAATACAATTATTTGTTTTTATTTAAATATATTATATAGATATAGTCAACTGATGTAGCGGGCT